AACACCTCTGAGCGTGACTTTCTCGCTGTGTCCTTGAGGCGAGCTCCCGGCGCCTTTGCTTTGCTTCCGGCGTGCTCCCGCCGTGCCTGGCACTGGGTCTGAACTGGCCCAGAACCAGTTTGCTCTGGCCGGCGCCTCTCGCCTGAGGGCAAACGCCTGCCGTGACGGAAGGCGAGTTTTGAAACGCAGACTTGTACGTCCGGCACTAACGATTTCCCCTCTCCCCGCCACAGGGAACCGGGGGGGTTTGTTCGCAGGAGGCCGCGTCCGATTCGGCTGGGGAGGGCGGCTAAAACGCCTGAGCGGCTTCTCCCCCCCCTTCCTCCTGCAGGATCTTCATCATCTGGGCCATCAGCAGCTGGTTCCGCCGCGGGCCGGCACCGCAGGAGCAGAGCAGCGCGGGCGGGACGCCGCGAGCCCCGAGCCGAAACCTCTTCCCCAAGGACACTTTAATGGTAACGCCGGCAGAAGCTGCGCCGTCCCGTCCTGGGTGACCGGCAGCGCGGTGACCGCGTGGTGGCTCCGTGGCTGGACCTGCTGCTCTAGCTCTGAGCTAGATCTTAAATCTAGCGGAGCCAAATCGTAGCTCTGCCCGTGGCTGCAGTGTCCTGGCGGTGCGGCGTCAGCCAAGAGTTATTTCTCGGGCTCACCGGAGCGCCGAGCCGGTTTGGGAGGGGATGCTGTGGCGCAGTACGGCAGAGCGGGAGCGGTTCAGGCGCCGACATCTCGCCGTCGGGCTGAGTCGTCCACTGGCAGCCGACGTCCACCTCTCTCCGCAGGACCTCTACGTTTATATCTCGGAGCACGAGCACTTTACAGACTTCAACGTCAGCTCGGCGCTGTTCTGGCAGAAGCGGGATCTTGTCTACGGGGACTGGACCAGCGGGGAGAACGCCGACGGGTGCTACGAACACTACGGGGAAGTCGACATTTCGCAGGTGGGTGCGCTCACTACTCTCTCTGGGAGGTTTGAGGCCAGGTGGTGGATCGTCGAGGGGCTGGTGGGGATTGCCAGGATCGTGCCCAAAGCCGGCCTGGGAGCTCTGAGCGGAGCTGAGGCGTGGAGCAGCGTTGGCTGCCGCAGCGCATCCCTGCCGTCACCTTTTTCCATACCCTGTTCGCTTCGGACGGTGGGTGAGACCCTGTGGAGTGGGCTGGTGTCTCTTCCGGGCGTGCTGCGGAGGCGACGGGGCTCGAAGCCGTCGTTTCGGTGACCAGCCGTTAAAGGCTTCAGGTTTGCCCCGAGCCGTACAGCGGCTGAGGTCTGCTCCGTCGCAGGGCGCAAGCCGTAGGCGTGCTGCCCTCCGGATGCCGCGAGGGAGCGGCTGCTTCTTCATGCTTCGGTTTCGTACGGGGTCGATGGCTGCGGGAGGATGGCTGGCGTTGGTGCCGGGCGCTGTACGAACGCCGGCGCTGAGGCGGGGGGCAACGCGGGCGCTGGGGCGGTGCCCGCGGCTGGGAGATGACAGCCGTGCTCCGCATCCGACTCGTAACCGCCCGCCCTGCTCCGACCGCATCCGACTCGTAACCGCCCTGTCTGGGTGTGATTTCAGAGCGTCCAGCAGAACGGCTCCATCTACATCCACGTGTACTTCACGAAGAGCGGTTTCCATCCCGACCCCAGGCAGAAAAACCTGTACAGGCGCCTCGCCACGGTCCACACGTCACGAAGTACGGCCCGGGGCTGGAGGGCAGCGCATGGCGGCCCCGGGGTGGTGCTGGGGAAAGGGGCACCCCAATTCCCATGTCATAACGGGAGCCCGGAGGAGTCAGGCTGAGCTCTGGCTTTGCCTCAGCGAAGGCAGGTGCCTGAAGGGGAAAATTAGGGCAAATACCTGACTCCCCGCGGCCTCCAGCGCGCTGGCTCGGCTGCTCCCTGAGCTGGACGTTTTCCGCACTTGGAATTTGTCTTTCGTGAACCCACAGAGGAAAAACCTCTTGAAATCTCTGCGAGCTCTTGGATTCCGTCCACGTTATGCGGGGCGGGGGGGGGGGGGGGGGCCCTCCCTTTGGGGGGGGGGGCGTTCAGGTCTTCCTGCAAGGACAGGAAATCCAGACACTTCATCTCAGATGTTTTTCCCCAAAAGCGATGCAATTATCCCAAAGGTTTGGCTGCTAATCTGGTTTGTTGTCCCCAAACTACAGCCTTTCCCTTTGATAACTGGAAGATCTGTGAGGCAGCCTGGATTAATTAGTCCTTCTGGGGGGTGACGGGAGGGAAACGGGCTCCTCCGGTCAGCTCGTGCCTGTCCTGGCAGGCTGTAACCTCCTTAGATTTCCTTCCCCGCTTTCTTGTGCGGAGCTGGAAACGCTCATCTCTCCTCTTTCTTTCCAGTGATCAACAAATACAAGCGCCGGCGGGTCCAAAAAAAAAAACCAAGAACCCCCTGAGACGGGTGAGGGAGGCGGATCCCGAAATGATCAAGGTAACCGGCTCTTCCTTTTGTGGGTGGGGTTTTTTTTTTTTCTTTTTTTTTGCCCTGTTGGCCAAACTCCTAAATACTCAACGCGCCTTCCTCCGGTCGCAAAGCTGTTGGGAAGCGCCGCAGAGGATTCCCCCCCTCCTGCTTGGGGCACGTCCCTCCTGCTCCGCGGAGGGGGAAGAGGATGATGATTTCCTTGTAGTATTTCTGGGACGCGAGGGTTGGCTCTGCTCCTTCCCGCTCCCCCCCCCCCCCTCTGCTGCCTTGTTTAAGTGGGGACGGCGGTGGGCTAACGCTGGGCGAGATGGAGGGACGCCCGCCGCCCCGGCCGCGGCGGAGGCGGGGGTGTTCTCATTGCAGAGGGCGGAAGACTACGGTCCCGTGGAGGTCATCTCGCACTGGCACCCCAACTTGACCATCAACATGGTGGACGACCACACGCCCTGGGTGAAGGGCAGCGTGCCGCCCCCCCTGGATCAGTGTAAGGGCCAGGGTGCGCCGGGGCTCCCCTGCGCCGAGGGTGGCTTTCCGGGGCTGGCCCTGCTGTCCCCTCTCCTCGGAGGATGTGTTTGGGCTCCTGTGGGGAACGGGGGTTTGTTTCTCCATCGTCAGCGGGACCCCCACCTCTCCGGGAGCTTGTTACTGGGCTGGGCCGGGGTTCAGCAGCCTCTCGGTCTCTCCCAGGTGGCTGGTGGTGGGTCTCTCATCCCAGGAGGGGGATGACGGTGACGACGGCTCTGGCGGTTCCCTGTCGCCTGCTCAGCCCTCCCTCTGCTCTTTCCCCCGGCTCCAGATGTGAAGTTCGATGCCATCAGCGGTGACTACTACCCCATCCTCTACTTCAACGACTACTGGAACCTGCAGAAGGACTATTTCCCCATCAATGAGACCCTGCAGCGCCTGCCCTTCCGCCTCTCCTTCTGCCCGCTCTCCCTGTGGCGCTGGCAGCTCTACGCCGCCCAGAGCACCAAATCCCCCTGGAATTTCCTGGGAGAGGACCTCTACGAGCAGTCGGACGAGGAGCAGGACTCGGTGAAGGTGAGAGCCGCTCGCGGGCCTCCCTCCTCCTGGCTGCAGCTCTCCTGCTCGTCCCCGTAGGTCGGGACCTCTTTCGTAGCAGCTCCTTCCCCCGCGTTCCATGTCTTTCCCCAGCTTTGCCGGAAGAGCGTTCGATGCCCGTTCTTCGTTGCCATCACTCCTTATTAATTACCTTTGCGATGCGAAGCGGGAGGGGTGCGCGGGTACCTGCCTGTTGCCTGTCTTGGCTACGTAGGGGGAAGGGAGCTTGGAGGCCATAACGATAGAGAGGAATTAAACCCCTCGTCCTCCTCGGTGCTCCGGTGCCCTGTAACCGGCTGGATCCTCCCTGTTCGCCCTGGCGTGCCGGGGCGTTGGGCAGCGGGAGGGTGGGACGGAGCCTCGGAGAAGTTTTTGATGCCTGTTCCAGGTTGCTCTCCTGGAGACGAACCCCTACCTGCTGGCGCTGACCATCGTCGTCTCCATCGTGCACAGCATCTTTGAGTTCTTGGCCTTCAAAAACGGTGAGCGCCGCGGCGGGACCTTGGGGATCCGCCGAGAGGGGAAGGATGCGAAGGCGGTGGCGTGGCCTAAAACCCTCTCCCCGCTCCTCCCTCCTCCTCGTCTTGTCCCCGTGGCGGTGGCAGAGCAGACGTCCTCGTGCTGCGGCGCGGTCTCGGCCGGCTGAACGCCACGCGCTGCCGCGAGCCCTCCTCTCCCCGGCTGTGACGTCTTCATCAGCAGCCGTAGCCAAATCCAACCACGTCCTGGGCAGGCTGCGGCCGCTGTGGCGCACGTTGAGGCATCCGGCACTCCTCAGCCGCGCTCCTCCGTGCCACAGGGCCGACTCAAGGGCAGAAAGCCGGAAACTTGTGGTTTTCTGGGTCCCCCCGCCACCTGTGCTGATGCCAGACGGCGCTTTGCGGTGTCTGCTCAGCTCTGGCGATTGCACCGCCTGCTCCTCTCGCTCCCTCTGCCAGGGCACGTGCCGCGGTAGCTCTCCGGAGCCTCCCGGCGCGGAGGGGTTCCCCTTCCCCTCTGGCGGGGTGACGGCTTGGGCTCCTTCCCAACAGACATCCAGTTCTGGAACAGCCGGCAGTCTCTGGAGGGGCTCTCCGTCCGCTCCGTCTTCTTCGGCGTCTTCCAGTCCCTCGTCGTCCTCCTCTACATCTTGGACAACGAAACCAACTTCGTGGTGCAGGTCAGCGTCTTCATCGGGCTCCTCATCGACCTCTGGAAGATCACAAAGGTCATGGACGTCCGGGTAAGCAGCGGCTTGGCCGTGGGAGGGTTCTGGCGGTGCCCCCAGTCCTGCTCGGTGACGCCTTTCCCCTCTCCTTTGGCAGCTGGACCGTGAGAACAAGGTGGCAGGAGTGTTTCCCCGCGTCACCTTCAAAGACAAATCGACCTACATCGAGTCTTCCACGAAGGTGTACGACGACGTGAGTCGGGGGGGGGGGGGGGGGGGGGCGCGAGTGCCGGGGACAGCGCGGCGCTGCTGAGCCTGGCTCCAGCCGGCTGCCGGCTCGGCCGAACGCCTCGGCACGCGTCTCCTCGCTTCGTCTTCCCCGATTCCCGTGGGACTCGCCCGGGGCAGGGTGAAACGAGCTGCCGGCACTGCCCAGCCCCTCTCCCTGGTCCGAGGCTCAGGAGCCGGGGAAGCGCCGGGCTGAGGCTCCGGCGCGTTCCCGGCTGATTTTTGGGTGTCGCTGCCTCCCCAGATGGCTTTCCGGTACCTCTCGTGGATTCTCTTCCCCTTGCTGGGCTGTTACGCCGTGTACAGCCTGCTCTACCTGGAGCACAAGGGCTGGTACTCGTGGGTGCTGAGCATGCTCTACGGCTTCCTCCTGACCTTCGGTGAGTGCCGCGCTCGCCGCCGGGAGATGCGGAAAATCCCCCCCGATGCGAGGAAGGGGGGTGGGGGGGGG